GTAAGTTGGTTTATATTTGTAAGAGGTTGGGATCAGGATTCCACTTGCTTTGTACCTGCTCACACTTTGCATGCCACCTTTCAGGGAAGTGTGTGCGTCTGTCTCCTGCAGCTTGTCATGAGAAGAGCCCTCACCCTGTGGCCCTCAGTGTCCCCACTGCCCGGCACAGTACCTGGCACAAGTAAACACCCAGCACCTTATTTACTGATAAACAAAGGGGAAACGGTCAAGCTACCACCTATTTGGTCCCATAGACTAATAAGCAGTTTACCAACTATAGTATTTCCTTGGAGCATGGTGGCTTAGGGATCAAGAATTGCCCTGCCAACCCAAAAGCTCATGTTCCAAACCCACCAGTGGTTCTGTGAGAGAGATGGGCAATTTCTTCCAGTGTTATTTACTGCATCTGAAAATCTGCTGGAGGGTCAGCCATGAGTAAGTTCCAACCACATGGCTGGGACAATAACAAACAATAACTACAATATTTACTTTCTAACTGCTGAATTCTGTTCTAGGCAATGTGCTCTGCCAAAAATCAAAACAAAACAAACCAAACCCACAAGCCACACAAACTATGGCTCTAGAGTCAATTCCTATTCAGTGACCCTCTAGGGCAATGCAGGCTAGAGCCCAAGACGGTTCCCGAGGATGAGAAGAGAGTGCTGCACCTTCAGGTTCAAAGCAGATCACGGGTTAGCAGCTAAGTGTTTACCCACTGCACCACCAGGCTCATGACTAACTTTTTCCAAAATTCATAATCAAGTAGATTCTGACTCACAGTGACCCTCCACTGGGTTTTGAGACTAAAAAGTTTAACAGAAGGAGAGTGCCAAGCTTGTTTCCCTCTAACCTGTAGATGGCTTCGAACCACCAGTGACGTACAGCTATTGAACTCCACCACCAGATCTCTTTGCTTACTTTGGGAACACTTGAAAACTTTTCCAGAATCCCTTCACCTTCATGTCCACAAATCTGACACTGACTCTTCTTTCTGGAAAGACGGTTTTCCCTTACCTGAAAAACTCAAAGGGACTTCTATGTTGTCATGTAAATTCTCATTTAGTTCATGGGGTGAAAATACAAATTCTCTGCTGGGGGTTGGACAAAAACGAGCTATTTCAAAGCCCTTGTTTAAATCACCTGTTGCTTCTCAGGAGACAGGAACTGGCCATGGACGGTACTGAGTCTGCAGTACAGGAAATCCCATGTTTCTCTGTGGTAGATTCTATGACTCTGTTGTAGGGTCACTATGAGGCAGAATTAACTCATGACATGCCAGGCTATGAACTGAAACTTTAACGGTTCGGATCCACCAGCTGCTCTGTAACAGAAAGATGAGCAGTCCCAGAATGAGGGAGAGCCTCAGAAAGCCCACGAGGGGTCCACCGTGACATGAAATCAACCCAGTGTCAGTGGGCAGCAGTGGGCAGTGGTACAAAGGGTGTAGCGATTGTTCCAAGCAGAGGCGCCTCTGAAGCCAGGCCTGGAAGTTGGCTCCGGGAAGGTCGTAGCCTTGGAATCCTCTTAAGAGTTTTTACTTACAGACACAGGGTCACCTCTGGTCAAAGTCAACAGTGACCGTGACTCCTGTAAGTGCAAGAATTCCGCTAACTAAAAATATGGGACCCTGGCACCTTACAGCTGCAGTGACAATCTGACCCTTGGAGTTGGCTCTGACAACTGCCACTTATGACATGGCATAAGGTTTTTAAGTTCTCCAAATGTTAGTGGTTATTTTAAAAATCAGGACTGTCCTTTTCTCAAGGAACTGGAGACATGCAAAGAATGTTCTCCATCAAAATGATCTGGACTCACCTGGAAGATCCCTAATCACTGCACGTATGAATACTGTCAAGTTAATCAGAGTATTTCTAGTTCTTAATAGAAGTGTAACTGCTCGCTTTGGTCGCACATATACTAAAATTGGAATGATAGAGAAAAGATTAGAAAGGCCTCCGCTCGAGGATGACATACAAATTTGTGACATGTTCCACATTAAAAAAAGAAGCAAGAGAAGTTACTTGAGTTCTCCCGCCAGTGCCCAGTTTCGCACTTGCAGAGCTGGACTGAAGCCTCTGATCTTAAAGCACTTGATCTGCAAACCACAGGTCACTCTGGTTGACCACATGATTCTCGGACCCAGAGCATTATTCTACCAGAACAATAGAGTAGCAGGCAACATTCTACCACCTGTGTTGAGGATGAAGACGGTAAACAATTCCCAAAAGAGCTCACCTGCTGGTCGACACTATTTTCAAAGTTGCATGACCTTAGCAACTGATTTTTTTATGACTTACATGCCTTTTTCTTTTTAAAAAAATGTTTAAAAAATTTAATGAGAGTTTACAGAGAGTTTGGATTTCTCTTCATTCATTGTTGCACACTTTTCTCCCTGTCCACCCCTCCCCCCAGTTTGCTTTTCTCTTTGAAAAGTAAAAAAAAAAAAATTCTTTGTTATACAATCACCTGCCCCCCCGCCCCCAGTCCACTCCACTATGCAGCATTCATTCTGGACTCTTGTCATGACAATAATACCTAATCCTAGTCCCCCTGAACAATTCTCTCCCTCATCTGTTTCAATGCAGTATACATTATTTATCCCCTCTTGCCTTAGTTTTACCCCGACCTTGATGTCAGTCCTGCTTTACTGCACTATGCAGTATCTGTCCTTTTGTGACTGAGATTTTTCACTCAGCATAATGTCCTCCAGGATCAACCATTTTGTATAATATTTCATTATTTCCTTGGTTTTCCAGTGCAGTATAGACTTAGGTACTTTTTAAGATTGAACTTTTTTTTTTTAAAAAAAATCATCTTTGAAGTAAAGTGAGGGTAGTGGAAGAGACAGGGTAAAGGTCATTCGGAATCTGACATTAACTGACAGAAATACTGGCAGGCTGTGGGGTTAGGAACATCTGAATTAGGGACAATGGCTACTTTCCCTTTAATGTTTTAATTTGCCTTGAGTGGAAAGGATTGAACCTACTCACAGCAAATCCTCCATCACGACAGCCTTCATTTGTTGCACGTGCCGCCTGTGAACCACAGCGAAGCCTTCGAGCTGTTTCTGCAGGTCCCTAAGAAGTGTGCGCACCTGCTGACTTTTACCCACAATCCTTAGAGACCATCAGGAGCAGATCGTTCATGCCTGGGACTGCCTGGAATGAAACATTTAGAATAACAATCATTCTGTCTCATTCTGGAAGCTTAAGACAACACCTGCCTCACACTTAGGAGAATCCAGGACTCACCTGTGCATGAAGGTTACTATCCTTGCCTTCCGTCCCGTGGAGAGGCCGCTCTGGACAAGGTACTGAACTTCACACCTACTGTGGACAGACTCCATACCATCAGGGCCACCCAAATCAGTTACAGGACAGCAGAGAAGTTTCATATCTTTCAATCCTAAGCACACAGCACTCTTAAAAGGAGTTAAAATCAATTCCTTGGAGAGATAAAATATGTAAACAGGTCCTTCTTCGTAATCCATCACCAAACTGACAGTGGGGTAAGGAAGATGCCAGGCAGTGGCCCCCCATGCATCACTTGGGAAAACTGTGTGGTTTAGTCAGTATAAGGAATCGTGTTACCTTCTGGAAACATCTCCTTGTTCCTTTAGCAAACTTCCCGCTCAGGGCAGGCTTGGTGTGATCAAGGCATGGGATTCAACTCGCACCTACTACACTTTCCCCAGGAATCTGTATTTGAAGGCATGGCATTAAATTTCAGACACAGCTCATAGAGCAGTGCCCCAGAGGACCGCACAGACTCTACACTCTGGACCCTTGTTCTTATCCTTCCCATAACTCGGTCTTTAGCGTCCCTTGGGCTCACGTTCTCTCCCTGTGCCGTCCTGCTAAGTCCTTCCCATGCGCTCAGGTTAGCCAGAGCCGTCTCTGGTGCTTGTACCTACTAGCCTTACCTGCAACAATCATGGAAGACAGGAGTGGACAAGCTTGGGTCTTGGCGTCTTGGGAATGCTTCCTAAAACACCTTGAGCTCAGCCACACTGCTACTACCCAGGGTCTCGCTAACTCTCGATGGTGCTGAGATACGAAAGGACTCTCTTGGGACATAAATCGGTCAACACAGGCCACCACATCACCGTATCAGTGGCAGTCTTCCTGGTTGGTTGGCTAAGGTAAAAGGCAGGCAGCTGATGCAAAATGCTACGTCAAAGACCCCTTCAATCAATTAATCAATGAGTATTTATTGCAAGGCACTGTGCTGGGCACTATGGAGAGTACATGGAAGAGAAGAGCAAGGTCCCTGCCCCAGGAGCTTACAATCTAGTTGGGAAGACAAGGCGTACATACAAGGAAAGCTGAGTAACAGTACACAGGTTAAAATGCATGACAACAGTACAAGAGATTTCCAATAGAACCTGATTAATGACTCAGCGTCTGCAGCCAGGTCTGAGGAAGAACAGCCCTAGGACTGCAGAGACGGCTGAGGACGCTAGCTGTGTGTGGATGGGGCTGGGGGCTGGGAAGGTCCTTTAGGATGGGACATGTACATGACAAAAAGGCACAGAGGTGAGACCAAGCCAGCCGTGTGGGGGCTGGTGAGGGCTCAGTGTGGCTGGGGACAGAGCTGCTGATTAGATTAAGAAGGGTCTTAATGCTCACGTTGAGATTTTATCCTCTTAGCACTAGGGGAGAGGGTATGGGGGGAACCTTAAAAATGAAAACAACCCCCCGAAAACAGATAGACTTGGAGTAAATAAATACACAAAAGACTTAGCTCATTAAGAGAAAACATTAAAGGTTTATCTTCAGGACTTTCGGTGTGAATTTTCTGACTCTCCCCCTCCTCCCAAAGAGGATCTGAAATGCTGTCTTCAGGGTGTCAGTTCTAAGAAAGAGCTCGAGGTCACTAGCTTCAAGTCATGGCCAGAGACACTTGAGTCCCTCCATGATCCCAAACCAGAACGAGCTCAAGGGGTGAGCTGACAAGGTCCCTGATGTGCAGGCAGGAAAAATGCTCCCGAAAGACAAGAATCTTTACAAATGACAGAATATTTATTAACAAGACCTTTAAAAAAGGATTACAGCTGGGAGAGCACTGGCCCAGGAGTGGCATTTACACCGGGAAGGGGGACGACCTGGGGTGGCATTTTTTTCATTCATTTTATCATTTTGTTGATTTTTTTTAAAGTGTGGTTTTAAATTTTATTTTAACATAGAAATAACCATACCAAACTAAGAAAGGAACACACCTTGAAATACTGACAATTTTTCTTCTGGCTAACATCCTAATTTTCACACAAGTGGAATCCTGATTATGAATTTATCGAATAAATATAGCTAGAAAGTTGAAAGTTTACTTCTATTATTGGTAAGCAAAAGTGACAAATCAGAGGAAAATTTGAGCTCCTGGAGAAAGAATAAAAGGTGGCAGCATGTTTACATGTGAAAATTTTTTATAGAAAATTTCATAGCCTTATATATTCACTATTCCACCAGTGTCAGCTTACAAAACCTCCCCCATCGTAACAAATAGTTCTCTTCACAAGAATATGATTTTGTTGATATAGTCATTTTCCAGTGTGTGATTTGTTAAGACACAGAAGGTAGAGCTTATAAAGCCGCTAGACTACCTATTGCAAAAACAGGAGAATTGTCAAGATACCATACAATTGTACTAAAGATCTTTTATAGAGTCATATGAAAAAATTCATTGCTGCAACTATTTGCTGAAATAGGAGAAATCTGTCAAACTCGATACGTGATTTTGTTTCAAAAGACGGGCTCTATTAATAAAGAGATATACACATTATATATAAGAAAGTCTGTAAAGAAACTACGAATCCATCAACAGAGAATTACTTTTCCTTTTAAAATGTACATGGCAAACATACATTTTAAGATAGTAACATGATCTTTTAGCCTTTGAAAGACTTGGCTGACTATTGTAACTTTTGGCCTATGTTACTACAGGGTATACGTAACTTCAAACTGAACATTTGAGATAATGCTACAAAGACAACGTCAGCTCACCTGAAGGAAAAGAACAGCCTACTCCACGATGCTAAGTTCAGGGAGGGGAGTATTGCACGAGGTACCTCTTGGGCAGTATGTGGAGATTGTGAGAGTACGGCAATTTCCGAAACCATCTCAAATTGGGCTGAACAATGGAATTCACAATGGAGTGAAGAAAGAAACATCACATATCGACAAGACTTAAGTCAATGCTTTGACCATCCAAGGAGCGTCCAATCCAGCAGCCCCGGGTTACAGCCCAAGTCCTTAGCTGTTTGCTGCTGGAGCCGTGGCAAACTGTACACCTAATTTTGTAATTTATTAACCAAGATAAGCTTCAAATTCTGTCTTGAAAGGAAATCTTTTCAAATAAAACTTGTATGATCGTGTTGCCCATAGCACTTTACAGCAGAGGAAAAAAATTAATATCTACATTATATGTTAACTTTAAAAAATTCTATAAAACACTAAATATATAATAAAAAATATGCATATAAGGACATATGTAAACTGCTTTGGTAACATCATATTACAGATGTTTTCAGTGCACTGCAGAGTTTCCAAAGAAACTTCAGACAAAGCTAGATTTGCTCTGAGGAAGTTCTGGAGAATGCCATTCCTAAAGAAGCAAAAACCATTTTTTTTTCCAGTAATAAGATGTACTTTAACAACAATATTACTTAGTACTGGGTGTCTTCAAAACAACTAGCTAAATGTTGCTTATATTATAAACAGCAAGTCCTTCAGATAACTTTTGTCATAAGCTGGACCTCGCCGTGAGAGAGAGCATTATGGTGCTGATGGCTGACAGTGTGCACGCGTTGGAAGTGGAAGCCCCCGAACCTCGGGCGTAGGCATCTGGAAAGAGAGGGAGAGGCCATCACTGTACGTGGAATGGTGTGGTGGCATGGTGTGGTGGCATGGCTTGGTGGCATGGCGTGGTGGTGTGTCCACGGTCCTTGCTACCTGGGAGGCTGAGGCGGCACCTGACTTTGGTCCTGGAGTCCAGGCTGAGGGTTTCTGCTGATGGGTGCCCACACTCTGTCCAGCATCAGGATGGCTACCTTCTCTGATCACAAATGGAGGAGCTCAGAACAGTCATCAAAACGGCCTCACCATGACTACTCAGAGAGAAGGGGTCTGGCGGCGTTTGTACAGTAGAACTAGCTTGGAATCCTGGGCATAGTCAGATCTTTCCACACAAAATACAAACTCCTAGCGTCTGAACGGACTGTGCTCCCGAGCACTCAGCAGCTGATCTGGAGTGAGTGCACCGCCAGGCTTGCTTTCTGAGGGCCTCCGATGGACTAGAACCCCCAGCCTTCTGGTGAGCAGCGCATGCACTGGTCATGCTCACCACACCGAGACTCCTGCTCTGTCTCAATGACTTCTTCCTGCAATTTTTAGGCGCTCAGGTGGCTCACGGCAGGCGGCTGACAGGGAGGCTGGAAGTCTGAACACCATCTGGATCTATACTGTCTTTAAACAAACCAAGCAGCATTGGTTCTACACAGCGTTTAAAAGGAGCAAAGGATCTCACACTTCTGCAGAGGCCTAAGTTACTCCAGGGTATATGTAACTTCAAACTGAACATCTGAGATAATGCTACAAAGACAACGTCAGCTCACCCGAAGGAAAAGAACAGCCTACTCCACGATGCTAAGTTCAGGGAGGGGAGTATTGCGCGGGGCCAAGGGGCTTTCACTTTTCTGCAGAGACTCTACCAAAAAATGGCCTGGAAACTTCTGCCAAGTTTACAGAAACAATCAAAACCCAGAAGCAAGCGTGTGGAGGAGTTCCATCTTGTATCATGTAGGGTTGCTACGAGTCAGGGGCAGACTTCGTGGCTACTTTGCTATGACTTCGTGAAGCTTCGTCTCACATACTTTGGGCATGTTGTGAGGAGGGGATATTCCCTGGAAAGAGACATGCTTAGAAAGGTGGAGGTGAGTGAAAGAGAGGAAGACGCCCAATGAGTTGTCTGAACACAGTGACTGCAGCCAAGTGCGCAAACACGTCAGAGACGCTAAGGATCAGTCTTGTTGTTCACAGGGTTACTGGGGCCTCACCTGGACGGCACCTAACACCCACCCCCTTGAAGGGACACAGGTGTCAGTGGTGGGACTCTGGCTCTCCCTGCTGGAGCTCCAGGGTGGAGACCCCTGCCCCCACCGCCACCTGTCAGTGGAAGCCTCCGACTGCTATGCTCTTGAAGGGGCTTCAGCAAAGTGTCCACACCCAGCCTGGGAAGAAAAGCCTGTCAGTGCAGCTCCAAAACCTCTCTCCCCATCATGAGGCGTGGGCCACATTGGTCAGTGCTCTGCTGGGCTGTGCATGGGCCGCCAGGAGTCAGAGCGCCTGTGGCAACTCACAGCAGCCCTCCCCTGAGCTCGGCCTTTGTGCTGGGCACACACCAATGTGACACTCAGTTCTCAACAAACAATGAGGTATCTGAGGACGACCTGGGGGCCAGAGAAGTGAGCTCTAAGGTCCCTGGGCAGCATTTGGCCTCACACCCGTGTCTGTCGGGGTAGACCTCCTTTCTCCAAACCATAGCCTCCGTTCTTTTTTAAGACTTTCTTTTAGGTCAGCAAGAGGTTGCCAACCATCATTTGGGACTTCACCAAGACTGTGAGATCTCTGTGCCTGGCACAATGACAGACCCCGAAGGGCCGACACCATGTTGGGGCCAGGGCTAGAGTCTTATCACCAGTTATCTGCACTAGATGGAGTACTTAATACTTTGTAATGAATCAGTCCAAGAACCAGCAGATTTAAAAAGACTTAGGATTATATAAAAACACAAATTTGAACATTAGCCATGTGAGCTGGAGAACCCCAAAGCAAACCTTAATTGTATGTCTTTGTGGCCTGAACATCCCTCCATCTCTTGCCCTTATGTGACCTTTTCACCACAAGTGAGAGCTCCTTTTCCCCTTTTAAGTGCTACATAGAACCAATGCTCCTTGGTTTGTTTAAAGACTACATAGATAGATGATAGGCAGATAGATAGATAGATAGATAAGTAGGTAGGTATAAATAGTGTTTCTGTGCAAAAAAATGGGGTCAATGTAAGCAAGGGACTTTCGTGGCATAAAGGTCAAGTGCTTGGCACTGACCCTCCATGGAGTTTTACAGGCAGGGAGACCGCCCACCTTTCTCCCCAGGACCTGCAGATGGACTTAAATAGCCGGAGAGGCTCTGCCTTTGAGCCCTGGTGGGCTAGGCCACAGGGAATTGTGCTCATAACTCAGAAGTGGTGTCTCTTTGGCAGCCTGAATGCGCCAGCATCCTTCAAAAACCCAACGCAGGCTGAGCTATGGGTCAGTTCTGACCCAACAGAAATGAGAGAGAGTGATATGTACTTACACACGTTACAGACATGTCCAAAATAGAGAGTGTCAAGGTAGAAATATTTTCACCTACAATTTTACTGGACACAATTGCAATAGCACATTCTAGGCGTTTTTGCTTTCTATTCTGCCTTCAAGACTTAAGCTATAATCTTGGGGCTACGCAGACCACATGTGCTGAAATGTAAATACCTGATGGGCTGCTGTAATCATCTTTCTTATTGGCACCTGGTTAAATCAGTCAAAACCTGTTGGCAGGTTCTTTTTTAATATGAAGCTGCTTCTGCTATGTAATGCCATGTCTGCAGAAGGGGTGACATTGCACGTTGCTATTACATGTATTAACGGGTGAGGTCGCTCGAGCCCGGGTTCCCAGGGAGGTGGACGGGGCAGTCAGGGCAAGGGAGAGGTCTCCTCTTACTTGATATCTTTGGAATTCGGATCTGTTCACTGCTGCTGCCGTCTCCTCCGTCGCTGAATGGCTTGATTTCTATGATGTAATCTTCATCGAAAGGCAGGGAGAGCTCCACTGATGTCTTATTTGTTTCAATGACAGATGCGCTGCTTTGTCGGCTCCATCTGTAGAAGACCTGCCAATACAGAATGCACACGTGTCACGTGCTGTCATGAGAAAGGCCCCAGCAATGGAGCACCCCTCGTTTGGCCTTCTGGGCACCCGTGTTATGCAGTGATGCTGAGGCTGTCGGTTGCCTGAACGCTGTTGGCAGCTGCATCCACAGAGAGGGTATGTCAGCAGTATCATCGTCCTGTGAGGGGACATTTCAGGGCAACAGAGCCCGTGGTGAGGGAGGATGATTCTGCCCACCTGCAGGGTGGTAAGCTGAGATCCATTTCACACACCTGGAGGAACTGGGAAAAGTCTATCTTGAAGGATGTGCAATTAGCATGCTCCCTAGACGCAGGGATGGTGGCACTTCATCTCATGGAACTTGAGCATGCTGTCAGGAGGGGCTGTCCTTAGCAAAAGACACCATGCTGGGCAGCTTGGAAGAGCAGAGAAAGAGAGGAAGACCCACAAGGAGACGGATGGACTGTAGCAATGGTTTGAGGGTATCAGAGGTGAGGATGGTGTGAGATAGAGCAAGGTTGAGATGTGCTGGTCAGAGGATCTGAGTCAACTCGAGAGCACCCAACAACAATCAGTCCCCAGAGAAAATCGCTAGTGGTACCGCAGTAGAGCACGCAGATGCTCACGGAAATGGGCAGAGGCTCTGTGAGTCATAGGAAACTCGACAGCATCTAACAACCAGTTCATAGGAAAGAGTCCTACTATGCAGCATTGAAAAACAAGGAACTCATGAAATATTATGCAAAATGGATGACCCTGAAGGACATTATGCTGAGTGAAGTATCTCAGTCACAAAAGGACAAATATTGTATAGTGCCAGTGTTGTAAAATGGGACTGACATCGGGGTTGAGGGAAGACAGAGAAGGAGGGGAGGAATGATGTCTACTGCGCTGAAACAGATGAGGGAGAGAACTGTTTAAAAGGGAAATGTGATTAGGTATCATTGTCATGACAGGAGTCCAGAACGAAGGCTGCACAGTGGAGTGGACTTGGGAGAGGGATTGCATAACAATGAAAGAGTTTTTCTTCTACTAGGGGTGGGCAGGGAGAAAAGTGCAACAATCAATGACTGGAAACCCTAAGTCTCTGTAAAATTTCATTAAAATTAATTAAACAAGTAGAAAAGAGTCCTAGTGGCAGGTACCATGGTAGAGCACTCAGATGCTAATGTCATTGTCGGTGGTTCAAACCCAGTTGCCAGCTCTGTCTGAAAAGACTTAGTGATCCTCTGTAAAGACGAAAGCCTAGAGGATTCTGTGGGTCAGCTCTGCTCTGTCACACAGGCCGATGAGTCAGAGTAGAGCCAAATGCACCGAGCCACAGGAAGGGCTTCCAGGACATTCGTGAGTGGTTCAACATTCACACACACAGCTGCTAACTCCAAGGCTGCAGCTTCGAGCCCATGCAGAGGCACCTCCAGAGAAAGGCCTGGTGACCTCCCCCCAAAATGACCCATTAAACCCACACGGAGCAGGGCCCTGCTGGCACACACTGGGCCATCAAGAGCTGGAAGGGAGTTGATAACAACTGGGGGTGATGAGTGCAAAACTCAGAGCACATTAAGGATTTGCCATTAGGGAAGGTTTGACCGTGACCCGGGGCCACTGACTTCACCTCTTAGAGCATCAAGTTCCTGACCTGTAAAATGTGGTCAAATGTCTACCTTTCCTGGCTGTCACCAAGATGGCAGAGGGGCTGGATATAGTGAAGGAGCTGGCTCCAAAGAAGCCTGGAGGAAATGCATCTATGCAGGCCGGAAGGGGGTCAAGACAGGAACTTGGCGAAGGTGAGAAGCACCAGGCAAGTCTGACGTGGTCATTATGGCTCTTCTGGCCATTTCCACCCACCGAGAGCTCTGGGAGAGGGGAAGGGACCCTCTTTCTCTTGGCATTGACGGCAACCACTATTGCTGGGCAAGGGTCTGCAGCTGGCACTGATGCTTTCTGCTTGCTTTCTTGGTCTGACCGGCTTGGTGTTTAGACTTGCGAATCATTCAAGGAGGTGGTCAATGAGCTCTTCTGAAAACAAGCTGGCTGTGTGGACTGCCTGACCACCATTAATCTCATTAGAAAGGGAGCATCTACCTTTTCTGAGACAATGATGGTGACAGCAACTATCTAAACAAATCTGAGTGTCTCCAGAAGCCATGATCCGGTTCAATCACCACAAAAATCCCACTAGGTTATTGATACTACGGATAGTATCAAAACCTCTTTAACAGATGAGGAAACTGAAGCCCTGATGAGTCTCAAAGTTGCAAACAGCAGGACGGGGATGTCCACACCCCACACCCCTCAACGACTGGAGCCCAGCGTGCCGGCTGAAATGACGGGGAAGGAAGAGGTTGCACACTGGACCCTGGGCCGGGGGTGCATCTGAAAATACGGATGCTCCAGTCTAGGGTCTTCCAAGGGGTGTGTCTTCCATCCACGGCTCACACGACAATGTCTGAAGAAACTCCAGGTCACCACTGGTGAAAGTGGCATCTAGAGATCAAGGGCCCGACTCCACAGAAGAGAGCTGACAGCAAAGACGTGACCTTCCCCGAAGCCGCAGCGAGGCTGAACAGCGCGGCTGTGCCCTCCACCTGACTGAGCCCGACGTGGAGGGCAGGGGCAGGATGTGGTCTGGGTAATGGCTCCCGCTGGTGCCCCTGTACCTCCTGGGGTGGGAATCTGATCAGAAAGCTGAGCTCCTATGTGAGCCCCAGGGAGGGCCCCTCACAGCACACTTCATAGCCTCCACCCCCAGGCCTCTGACTCAGCAGATCAGGTGAGGGGCTCAAGGCTAAGTCCTCAGGGATTTCTAGGGCACAGGGACTATACTCCAAGAAGCACAGGGTGCACTAACCCTCCTCCTCCTTCTCAGAGACCGCCAGGTGTTGGCCTGGCTGAGGCTGAAGGCCACTCTTCTATCTCTGGACAAATGGAAAATTAAATTCCCTGAATGGTTCGATCCCCTCGTCGGCACCTTTCTTCGCTTTAATTCATCTCTCTGAAGTACAAGGTGGAAAACGCACTTTTCTTGAGGCGGTGTGATTCATGCTCAGCCCTGCTCATCTCTGGAACACCGGCTGGACCAGACAGCGTTCCCTTGCTAACATCCAGCTCCAATAAATCCCCCAGGCCCTGCGGACGCCAGGCTTCCCAGCACCAGCTCAGGAGAAGGGGCTGGCTGAAGGCATGCAAGGTCATACCTGGCTTTGAGGAATACATTGCTACTCTGATTTACTTCTAGGCCTTGCCCAAGTTTGGTGAATCCAAGTTGTTTCAAAAATAAATCTAAAAGAAACACTTCCCAGGAAAAAGCACCTGTTTCATCAGCACTGCTTATCAGACCTGCAATGGCAGGTCCTGTAAGACCATTCTGGACACCGGAGACTTGGCTCGTCAGGAGGGCAGGACGGCTGGGCTTCATTTCCTCAACACCCGGGGTGGAAGTAAGGGAGGGAGTGGGATCAGGGGCGCACGACATCAGCACACGCTGCTGAGAACTGACTGCGCGTCCAGTCCGCGTTCTGGACGCTCACGTGGGTACTTCTCTGGGTAGGCTCTGCTAGTATTCTGATACTGTTGTTGTTAGGTGCTGTCAAGTATGACTCACAGCAGAAGAACAGATCTGAAGCCCGTCCTATCCCCTGCCACCGTCATCACCGCTGGGTGGCCACTGCTGCAGTCGCTGTGTCGATTCATCTCCCTGGAAGATCTTCCTCTCCTTCGTTGGTCATCCAACTTCCCAACCACGATGTCCATCTCCAAGAAAAACCTCTCCTAGCAACACGCCCAAAGTATGTGACATGCAGCTTTGTCATCATCTTTGCCCCCAAGAGCACTCTGACCGCACCTTCTCTAGGATATACCTGATTGCTCTGTTATTGTTGTTAGGTGCCATTGAAACAACTATGACCCACAGTGACCCTACGAACAACAGATGTGAACCGTGTCCCATCCTGCACCATCCATCCTCACACTTCCTGACACACGACAGCCCAGTGCAGCAGTCACTGTGTCAGTCCTCCTGGCTGAGGGTCCTCCTTGCCTTTGCCTCTCCAAGGAAGAGTCTCTCCTAACAAAATGCCCACCGTATGTGAGGCAAAGTAGGATCATCTTTGGCCTCCATAGAGCACTCTGGCTGCACTCTGTCGAGGACATATTTGTTTGCATGGGTGACTGGAGACTTGGAGATTCTAGGGCACATCCCCGGGGTCCTGTGGCCAGGAGGCTGTGCACCCAGCCAGCAGGACCCCAGCCGCAGATCAGTCTGACAGCCACCTGTGAGACTGTGGACACCTGTTCCTCCCTGTTTTCTGCTTTTATGAATGCAAAACCAGATGGCGAGGCAGAAAACATCTCCAGCCTGCATATGCTGCTTGCCCACTTTTCCCTGAATTAGATGTCTATATTTAAAAACAAAGACATTTTTCATTAAAAAGCAATTGGCTGAAACTGAGAAACCACTGCCAGTTTTGGGGAGTCCGAAGCTCTGCACTGTCTCACAGTCCCTCCTAACACTCTCAGTGTGTGATGCTGGCACGTGTCCACCTCAGGGCCTTCGCACATGCTGCTCACCAAGACTAGTTTCACCTGCCCCAGAGAGCTGGCTCGGTCACTCCTTTCCAGTAAGGTGCAGCTGGATTGTCACCTCTTGAAAGGGATCCTCGCTGACCTTCCTAGAGAATAAGCAGCCCTTTCTGTCCAGGGCTCTTGCTCTTCTCCGCCTTCTGCCCTTGTTTTGTTTTGGTGCCTCATTATCCCTCGATGAACGTACTGTCTGAAGAACTGCAGTGACTAAAACAATGGCCTCGTCTGGCTCAATCTAAATTGAGACAAGTCACTCAATTTCTCTACCCCATGGCTCGCACATCTACAAAACCGGAGTAGTAACTACTCAGACCCACATCAAGACCGACTCACCACCTCGGTGTGTCTGATCCTCAGGCGGGATTCGGGGGCGGTAACCTGCACGCAGGAGATGAACTGGAACCGACAGAGAAGCAGAGC